TATCTAGGGTTCATTATACTAAGTAAAATAAGTCAGATAAAGAACAACAAAAACACTATCATCTCACTTGTATGTGGAATCTAAAAACAAAACCAAACAAAATGAAAGCAGACTCATAGATACAAATAACAATTATTTGCACTAGTTTAGTTTAGATTAAACTATTAGATTAGTTACCAGAAGGGAAAAATGTTGCAAGTGTTGAAATAGGTGGAGGGGATTAAGTACAAATCCCTGTTATAAAATAAGCCTTATGCAATATACAGCATAAAAAATATGGTCAACAATATTGGAGCAACTTTGTATGGGGACAGATGTTTACTAGACTTATTGCAGTGATTATATCATAATGTTGCAAATTTTCAATCACTATGTAGTGTAGGATACCTGACATTAAGATAATATTGTATGTGAAGTGTATTTCAATAATAGTAATAACAAAGAATTCTTTGGAGCCTATTAACTGCATCAAATCCCTTAAAATACTATTGGGACTCATCCCAGGGGATGTGGGTTTTAAGAAAAGTATAAATACCTCCCACTTAGCATAATAAATGGTATGCCACGGGATGTTTCTTAGAGACCAAGGTAAGTTATATAATGGTTAGGCTGTGAAAACACCAAGACAAATGGGGAAAGCGCTTATGCCAAAATAGTATGAAGAGTTGGAGGAAAAGTGAAGGTTAAAAAAAAAAAAAAGATGAAATAAGAATGCACACTCACAACCTCCTGAGGCTACTCATTTACCTACATGTTCTTATACCTATGATTGTGCAAAATCTCATATGGAAAATGTGGAAGGAGATGCACCAATATAGCCTGCATTGATTTAGCTATTGTTTCTGATCTAGTTTGCAATTGTATGTGTGTGAATAGCAAGAGGACAAGGACTAGTTTTCTCTATTTTCTAGAACTGCTTTTGAATTCATGAATTTGTTAATAAATGAATCTTAAAGCATAGCTCCGGAGAACAGATTTGATGAAAATAAGACTTAGGGCTAGGTTGATAAAGCATCTGAGAAAGGAAATAGCAGTATTACCATGAGGTTACAAAATTATGCCAGGACAAGAAGAAGGTATACACGCTTCTTGTGCTCATCAGTTCCGGGAAATGGGAATGTGGATGGTTGGGGTCTGCTGGTGGTTGGTGGAATAGGGCAGAGTAAGTAGATACCATGTCAAAGAGATGGCTGCTGGAGAGCTAAATATACTCTCATGTAGAACTTTAAAGTTAGAAGGTAAATGAGAGATTGGGACCAGTCTTAATTCTGAACTCAGAGAAATTGAAAGATATATGAATATATATTGAAATAACAGGCCAGTATACATTATAAAATGATTAAATGATTTGTTGATTTGTTAAGTGTTTACAGACTGGAAATGATGTTGACTTTGAGAGGAGGTAAGCATCCATTTTCAAATCCATTTAGAAAATTCACAGAAATAAATGGAATAGTTGGTTTTCTTGGGATGTAACTGTATTTATTTTCTGAAGTTTTGCTGTGTGGTGCCCTTAAGAGAGACTAAGACATCAGATGATTAAGAATTTGGTCATTAATCTACTGGATTTCTGGATAAGTTCATTGAGAGAATCTCTTATTCCTTTTTTATGTTCTTTCTGTCCACTGTGCTTTCATTTTCACTTTATTCTTACTCTTCACTCCATTTAAAATAAAACACATTTTGTTCTTTGGCTGAATAACAGTTCTGTGAATCTTAGCCTAAGCCTAACCACCTCCATGGAATTCTTCTGATCCATTTCTACACCAAAGCATTCTGTGAATACTTCTAAATTGAACTTACCATACAATTTCCAAATTTCATCTTTGGAGTTTTATCTCCCTTACTGCTCAGTGGCCTCATTGAAGGTATGTGGCCAATTTTATTCAAACTTGTATTCAAATTCCCTAATCTAGGTTGGTACACAGAGGACCTCTTAAGTACTTGATGGGTTAAATTGAGAGAGTACGTCTCCACTTGGGCTTCCCAGGTGGCCCAGTGGTAAAGAATCCACCTGCTAAGTCAGGAGATTCAGGAGACGCGGGTTTGATCTCTGGGTCAGGAATACCTCCTGGAGAAGGAAATGGCAACCCACTCCAATGTTTTTGGCTGGAAAATCCCACGGACAGAGGAGTCTGGTGGGCTACAGTCCACGGGGTCATAAAGAATTGGACTTGACTGGCACAGATGCACCTCTCCACTTACCTTATATATTCTCACTAATGAAAGACAGAAAGCTATCTCTGAAAGTTTAACATTACAAAACTGAGAACTTCAACTGTCTTCTCCTCAGCCCTAGCAGTCCAATTTTACCTCACAGATATATTATATAACATAGCATATAAATATATATATATTTCCTGAGAGAATCTCCCAAAGTATCAAATTAAAGGACACAACAAATCTTGACATGGGTCAAAGTCAACAGATGTATCTACCTTCTTATGCATTTATCTCTGATGGATGCTTCTCAACTTTGACTTCCCTCAATATTTGAATATTCATAAATTTGAATCAAAACTTTCTATACAATGGCACACATCAAACTTTCACATTTTCTATGCAACTAGTTTTTCCCACAAAATCTTCCCCTTTTGCTTCAAATATTTGTTTATTATAACTAAGTTCAGAATTACCATGTATTCTGGATCAGTGCTATGAAACAAAATCACTTGATAATTCTTTTCAATGTCACTATAAGGAAGGTATCCATAAAGACATGACCGCCAGGATAGAATCCTATTAGGAAGTAAGATTTAGGGTATCTAAAATGCTCTGCCCTCTCCCCATGGTTACAAGGCAGAAATATATTTGAAAGTTGCCTGGTTCAGAATATTTAATCTCTGCTCCCTCAGCTGGGCTGTATCTGGACAGTGTCTTTACTGAATGTGTTGAGTTATGAACTCTTTAAATGATAGGCTTATTTAGATTAGAATGATCTCTCAATTTATGTTTCGTCATAACTAAAAAAATACTCTGTCAAGTATTTCCCTCTCTTTGATATTATCCATTTTCCAAATTTGATGGGTACTTTAAAAAAAATTATGATGAGAACTGAGTTGTTTATTTTCTAAAATAGGACATAGAAATTTCTTGCCCTGTTTCTTCTTCAGCAGTTCATCTATTTATGAAGTTTTTAAATTAATTTTTATGTGGTAGAATTTTTCATTCATATGTGTAAATAAAAAGAAATTGTTTCTTCTGCCCTAAAAAACCAGGCCATCTATTATTCACAAACACCACAAAAATGCATAAACATACACACAGGATTATGCACATTATATTTTGAGGGGTTTTTAGGTTCCCTAATAGGGTAATAGTTGAAATTACAAACAGCAAAGAAATCACCATACATCCTAAGCAAAAAATATATGGAACACTATCACATACATAGACTCTGGAATTCTATTCTTTTCACTTATTTCTGGCTATACTGCAGATTTTTAATTTTCACAGTGCAGAGGATATTATTCTGCCCTCTCTTGTTTATATCAGTTTTTTTTTTATATTAGGGAAAGCAGTAATAAAGTAAGGCAATTTATATTCCTGATGCCACATGTTGCTCAAGAGACACTAGCAAAAAATGAGTGGGAGTATATTTAATCTTATTCCTTTTTAAAAAAATTTGATACAATTGATACATAGCATTGTGTTATGTTCAAGGTATACAAAGTTTGATTTGATACATTTGTATATCACAATATGACTGCTGCCATCGCTTTAGTTATTGCTCCCCTCACATCACATAGGCTTTTTTTTTTCGTGATGAGAACATTCAGTCTGTTAGCAACTTTGAACTATGTAATCAGTATTGCTGATGAAAATTATTTATCTTATTTTTTTAGCAGAAACAAAGAAAGATTAAAATGTTATTTTGCCTCTTAACAGGAGTGTGAAAATATGGAGACACGGAGGAGGGATCACTGACTGGAAGCCAACAATTGTTTCTGATATGGACAACAGAAAAATTGTCGCAGAAATGATGTGGCAGAATAATTGTGGCAGAAAAAATGTCTATGCCTAATAACACCCAGTTCCATCCTTCTTCATTCCTTTTGTTGGGCATCCCCGGCCTAGAAGACATGCACATCTGGATTGGATTCCCCTTTTTCTTTGTGTATCTTATTGCACTCCTGGGGAACGCTGCTATCCTATTTGTGATCCAGACCGAGCATAGTCTCCACCAGCCCATGTACTACTTCCTGGCCATATTGGACTCTGTTGACCTGGGTTTGTCCACGGCCACCATTCCCAAAATGCTGGGCATCTTCTGGTTCAGCCTCAAAGATATATCCTTTGGAAGCTGCCTTTCCCAGATGTTCTTTATCCACTTCTTCACTGCCATGGAGAGCGTTGTGTTGGTGGCCATGGCCTTTGACCGGTACATCGCCATTTATAAACCCCTTCAGTACACCATGATTCTCACCAGCAAAGTCATTGGCGTTATTGCAGGCATTGCTATTCTGCGGAGCCTGTACATGGTGGCTCCACTGATATTTCTCCTCCTGAGACTACCCTTCTGTGGGCATCATATCATTCCTCATACCTACTGTGAGCACATGGGCATTGCCCGTCTGGCCTGTGCTAGCATCAAGGTCAACATATTATTTGGTCTTGGGGATATGGCTATCTTATTATTGGATGTACTTCTTATCATTCTTTCCTATATCAGGATCCTCTATACTGTCTTCCACCTGCCTTCCTGGGAAGCCCGGTTCAAAGCTCTCAATACCTGTGGCTCTCACATTGGTGTTATCTTAACCTTTTTCACACCAGCATTTTTTTCTTTCTTAACACACTGTTTTGGCCACAACATTCCTCAGTTTATCCATATCCTCTTAGCCAATCTATATGTGATTGTTCCACCAGCCCTCAATCCTGTAATCTATGGAATCAGGACTAAGCAAATTAGGGAACGAGTTTTGAGGAATTTTTTTTTTAATGGTTAACCATCAGCAGTCTTAGAATGTTTAACAGTTCATATTTTCTCCATATGCTTATTAGAAGGGGGTTATTGTCTAAAAAGATAGAGGGCAGGGAGACTTAACAGTGATTATTGACAGTAATGACATTCCTTTGTCCATAATTCTTTTAGTTTAAGAATAATAATGAGTTTATTGATGATAATATAATCATCAGTAAGGATTATATCTTTTGAAAACTGTTTATAGTTAGATTGTTTGGTCAAGATAGCCCTGTGAAATAGTTACTCTATTTGCAAGTTTTCAAATGAATAGTTGAAAATTCATCTGAAAATTCAGTTGTTAGTGGAAGGTAGATTGCCAAGGCAGGTAGCTTTAAAATTATAGTAGTTTCTGGATCACCAGACGAAATGTAAAAGCAATAGAATAAAATCAGTAGCAGGATTTTAGAAATAATAACAATGATATTATTTAGAATCATTGGTATTTATTCTTCTAGAAAATTTACTTATATTAACACACATATTTCTTATGTGAGTTCTATGATGTGGTTACTTTTAAAATTTGCATTTTTATATGAGTAAATGATGGGTAATAAAATTCTCCATAACAAATTATGATCATGATATTCACTGTAGAGAAACAGGAGAAACCATGCATTAGAAATGAAATAGGGAATTCCCTGGTGGTCCAGTGGTTAGAAGTCTGTGTTTTCACTGCCAAGGGCATGGATTTGATCCCTGGTTTGGGAGCTAAGATTCTGCAAGTCTTGGGGCAACATATAAGAAGAAGAAGAAGAGGAAGAAGAATGGTACATAAAGAATGCTGCTGCTGCTGCTGCTAAGTCACTTCAGTCGTGTCCAACTCTGTATGACCCCATAGACAGCAGCCCACCAGGCTCCCCCTCCCCGGNGGGGATTCTCCAAGTCCCCTCCCTGCCATCATCCCCACCGCCCCTTCTTTCCTGAAAGCTTTGTACATGGGGCGATACCAGCAGACGAAGGAGCAGGGAGTGAAGAGGAGGATCCAGAGGATAGAGAGCCCAAAGCCTGAGCCATTGCTGGTCTCCACACAGAAGCTGGCGAGGCAGGCAAGAAAATTCAAGAGAAGAGCCAGAGTGCTGCCTAAGGGTCAGGGGGACAGGATGATGGGTCAGTGAGAGCTCCTTCTCCAAGAAACCCACCCCACAACCCTCACCAAACGTGGCAGAGTAAGGATCCTCAACAGGGGAGACAGAACCAGCAAATCTCAACCATGTGTCATCGTGTTTGCAAAGACTTTTAAAAGGATCCAGCATACATTTATGCATATGGACAAGGGGAAGAGGGAGAGAGCAAGAACGTACATTTGCTAGAAGACTGGAGAAGAAATCCTGAGTATTGTAAAAGGAGTAATCCAGGGAAATTGCCAGAGAAATGAGCCTTCAATGATACTTCATTCAAAGTATCTAGCTCTGGGTGAGTGAGCTCCAGGAAAAGGAATGATGTACCACTTACTATCTATACTTTTCCTTCAAAAAGGTTTCTGACTACTCACACATCCAGAGGTAGTACATGGTGGATACTGTCTTCTGAAATTCTTGGGGGATCTCCATGGAGATGTCCTGGAAAAAGCAGGGCTGAACTGGGCAAAAAGAAGGTAGAGGGGGCCAATTGTTCTGTCGAGCTGTAAGGCAGAAAAAGAGCAGGAGGGTCCCACAAGTGAGACAGAGACCAACAAATCACCCCCTTCCTTTTACCCCTGGATTCTCTATTTCCAACTCGAGAGTTCAAGAAGACAAGGGCAAATAGCAAAAATTATATTAGTAGTGTTTATTATGACTTTTGTTTACTATGGCTTACAACTGCTAACCACTATGCCCAGGATTTGTATAGATAACTTTGTTTAACCTCACAACAATCCAGTTAAACAGGTACAAACATTACTCTCATTTTACAAGTAAGGAAACCGATGCACTCAAGATTAAGTAGCTTGCCTAAGAGCTCATCCTTAATAAGCCACTGCACCCAAATTCAAGCTCTGCAATCTGGCTCCAGTGCCCATGCTCTGAGTTCCTTTTCTGAGACTTCGAAGCTGTCAGATGCCCTCTGCAACCCTATCAAGGATCCACTTACCAGCTGTGCCGCCCAGGGCAGCATGCTGGAGTTCTCTCTCCCTTCGGTCCAACTCCTCTGCCTTTCGGTTGAGCTCCTCCTGTTTCTTTAGCAGCTCAGCTGTGGCTGCTGCAGTTGAAGCCTGCCCAGTAAGAGCAGATGGAGATGTGAGTCCTGAACCCCAGGGAGGCCCCCTCCCCAAACCCCTACCTATACACCCCCCTACCTGGGTGCTGTAGGAGCCATAGTTCTTGGGTTCTGTGGGGCTGAGTTTTCTTGAGGACTGCAAGGGTGGAGCTGAGGGCGGAGCTATCGGAACAGGGGCAGGAGGCTCATAGCTTGGTGGTGGCTCCCGGGTCTCAGAAGGGTTGTAGACTGTCAAGAGTAGCATAGTGCGTGCTGGGTCGATGCTGGATCACAGCTGGGTCCTGAAAGGGGTTGTCAAGCTCGCCAGACTCGGCGAAGGGGTTTCCACCGTCTCTGCTTTGAGCCATGTTTGCAACTTCGGCTTGGGCCACCCCCTGCCCTCCACGCCCCTGCCGCGGCAGTGGCGGCGGCCGCGGCTCTCTACTTCTGATTCTTCATCAGCTTATGAGCATGGACGTTTTACTGCATGACCAGAAACCATCATAGAGAAATTAAAAATAGATATTGTCTTCCAAATCTTAAAGTTAATTTTAGCAAAAATGTAAACCGGACAACATAGGTATGCATATGTCATACTTGCTAAAAAAACTCCATAGCAACTACTAAATCTTTTGTATTTAAAAAATTTAATAAACCAAAAGAACATACTCAGGCAAATTAATAAACAGATATCAGATAAATTGAGTCAAGCTAGCCTATATATTCAGAACCTTCTGACTCTAGACAGGCAAGAAAGTTTTAGTCATCCAAATAGACATCAGAGGAGCTTACATTAACAAGCAAAAATAATACTACCATATTCAGATATAAGTATATACAAAAAAATTTTAGAACATTATCTACAGCAAATTGGGCCTTTGGAAAAATAATCACAGTTAGAAAAAAAAACTCAGCTATTTTCTCAGCATAAACTACATTATCTTGAATAGTATATTCATGAAAAGTGTCCAAGAATAGCCAATTTTCTTTCTGAAGAACTATATTGGAAGTCATACAGACAGACAACAAGACCTGTTCTAAAGCTATAGTAGTGAAGACCTACAATAAAGCATAGTAATTTGGAGAGTATTGTTTTGATGCAAGTATAGAAAACCAGTCCAAAACCAGTCCAATGAAATTGAATAGAGAGTTTAGAAACAGACCCACAGATACATGTCTGCATGAATTATAGGAGAGATAACATTGTAGCAAAAGGTGATATTTTCAATAAAAGATTTTGGATAAATTGGAGAGTCACAGGAAGCAACAGTGAATTTTTATGTTTATCTCACATTATACAAAAAATCCTTCCCAAATGAATTGTATATGTAAACTTGAAAGGGCAAACCATACACCTTCTGGACAAATAACCTTCCAATAAGAACAGATTTTAAAGACACAATACATACACATATATGTGCTAACAATATGGGAAATATATAGTCAGTGTATATTAAAGTTAAGAACATCTTTTATCAAATATAATATTTTATCAAATAAATAACAGGGAGAATAGACAAACCAAATGCCTCATATTAAAGAATATATATATGATGCTTATGAATCATAAGAAAATGGAACACTACCACCTAGAAAACTTAGCAAAGGGTTTATATGGGGCTTTTGCATAGGAAGATGTCCAAATTTCTAGTGAGCATGAAAAGATGCACTGTTTTCTTAGTCACAAGGGAAATACATATAAAATCGCTAAGCAATTCCACTATATACTGACCATAATGGATAAAGTGAAAGAATCTCAAGAGTTGGACATGGCTTAGCGACTAAACCACCAAAGTACTAAATGTGTGCAACTAGAATCCTCAAACATTGCTGGTGAGATGGTAAACTGGTAAAATCACTTTAGAAAACTATTTGGCAGTATCTCAGGAAGCTATCCTTTACACCCCAATCCACTCCATGATCACAAACACAGAGTGTCTTTGTTTGATGTTCATATCTTGAAAAGTTGTTTATGTTAAGTGGGTATTGTCTTGGTCAAGATATTAGTGCCAGTCCAGTGAGCCAATGACAACTGTTAACTGCTTTTTTCTTTCTCTGAAGAAAGTCAGCTACATAATTCTATACTTATCCAGGCTAGACACAATGCATAATCCCTCTGTGATGTCCACATTACACAAGTAATGTAATCCACAAGTAATATTTTCCTTTGTAGTTTTTATTGTGCCAACTTCCAAGCCCTTTCTAAAGGAAATTAGGTTAGAAAGCAAGAAAATGTACAAGTTTTCTGAGTTTCTGTAGCTCTAAATTTAACACTATACAGCTTAATTATTTGCACATTTATAAGTTGTTAGTGGGGCTTCCCTGGTAGTTCAGGGAGAAAGAATCTGCCTGCACTGCAGGAGACAAAGGTTTCAATCCCTGGGTAGGGAGGATCCCCTGGAGAAGGAAATAGCAGCACACTCCAGTATTTTTGCCTGGAAAATCTCAGGGACAGAGAAGCCAGACAGGTTACAATCCATGGGGTTGTAAAAGAGTCAGACACAATTTAGCAACTAAACAACAACATCCCGTGGTTAGTATTGTCTATGCAACCAGAATATAGGCCTCAAAGGGAAAAGATTTACAGATTAAACCTATCTGACCACATACTTAATCTTTTTTTTTGGCCGTGTGGCATGAGGGATCTTAGTTCCCTAACCAGGCATGGAACCCACACTCCTTACAGTGGAAGCATGGAGTCAACCACTGGACCACCGAGAAGTCTACAGATACTTAATTTTAAATAAGTGTTCAGTGGCTACTTGACTTCTAGATCAAGGCAAAGATATTTCCTAGAAAAAAAGTGGCACAATAATTAGAGAATATAACAGCCTTGGGGGACCAGATAGAAAAATCATAGGTTGCTTCAGATATTATTCTTATAGGACTGATGGCAAGGGAATAATTAGAACTATTGGGTTGTGAGAGAACTATAAATACTTGGAAATTGGGAACCTACAGGGAGAAATTTAAAAGTCCCAAAGGTTTCCTTTGCCCATGTCCTTTTTTATGCCTTTGAACCTGTGGTAAGAACTTATGAATTAATTTTCTTTGGTGCTTTCATACTGTGCAGCCCCAGAAGAGTAGCTACTCCCAGTCTGGGAGAAAATTTTCCATCCCAGTAAGCTTTTCTCTTTGGACCACCGTTATAGTGCTGAGACATGCTTAGAGCATTTATTAGTCTGGACTGTACATTTGTTTTTTAATGTTGGCTATTCCTGAAGCTGGTAAGTTGGTGCAGGCTTAGCTGTGGCTATATGTATTTGAACATATAGATTAGGAAAGTATGTACTTGAATCTATTGATTTAACCCCCTCACTAACTTTACATATGAAATTAATTTGGAGGAGATAAACCAAAATATTTTACATTCTTATTTCTAATTGATATAATTGTAGGTAATTCTATGTATTTTGGTGTTTTATTACTTTTTTGTACAAGTATTTCTAATTTTCATGAAAAGAGGAATAAAAGGAAAAAGGTAAACTTGTTATGATACTGCTAAATTCTCTCTCCTCCTCTTCTATCTTTTCTGTCCCTTTCCCTTACAAATTCTGGCTTCTTTGTTTCTTTCTGTATCTCTTTCCCACTCTTCCCATTTCTAATTCTCTCTTTTAGTTTAATTCTACTGAACTTTGTCATGCTACAGATTATTTTGGAATATTATTTTGCACTTAATATACAAAAATAGACATTCTAAAATTTTTTTCAAATCAAGCCAACACATGAAAAAGAGCCTCAATATGTTTAATTACTTCCAGATTCCAAATAGTTTGTAGTTTCTTAAAAGCATACAATGAAATTTCCATGCTGATTTATACATATAAGACTCCTTGTTTACAAATATATTCATTCTTGATTTAGTCTTCCATATTATCAAGCAAGTTTAGTGTTAAATGGACTTACGTGGTGACTCAACTATTTATTACTTAAAAAAAAATTAGAGTCTCCTTTGCTGCCCTGTACATACACACAGATACAAAGAACACACTTTTGAATTTAGTGGGACGAGAGGCTGGGATGATTTGAGAGAGTAGCATTCAAACATATACATTATCTTATTTAAAATAGATAGCTGGTGGGAGTTTAACCTATCACGCAGGGCACCAAAGCTGGTGTTCCATGACAACCACAGGGATGGAGTGGGGAGGGACTTGGGAGGGGGCTTCAGGAGGAAGGGGACACATGTGTGCCTATGGCCAATTCATGTTGATGTATGGCAAAACCATCATAATATTGTAAAGTAATTATTCTCCAATTAAAATTAAAAAATGTATTAGAGTCAAATTTGGAAAAAGTAAGATGATAGTCTCTCTCCCAAATTATGAACATGTATTTATTTATTTATTTAGCTATCCACCTCTTCTATTTGGTATAGAATGGGAAGGTGAATCTCATTTGAGTTGAAATATATCTGATATGTAACGGTTGCTTCTAAACTAGACTGGTTCAGTGTTGTGCAAAAGAACAATTTTGATCTTACAGACTCTTTTATCCAGGACTGAAGAATACCTTAATGAACATCTTTCTAGTTTTAGCACTGTTATTGAGATTTCGTTGTTCATTGTATATAGGAATAAAGATCTTTTAGAGTGAATAAGAATCTTTTAGATAGGCGACATGCAGGATGAGGCTGTTTTGCAGCAATTTCCCCCCTATTTTTACTTTTAATTTATTTCTGTCCTACATAGTGGCCTCCTGAATTGCCTTATTCAGGAGATTTTGATTTAAGATCTCACAATCTTAAACAAGTCTTTGGCATCACCCTTCTGCCCCTTGTACAATTCTGTTCAGGCACTCTAATATAGAATAAATAATGACTTTATGCTGAAAACAAGTTGACATTGCAAAAGATTGAATAACTCTGATTTTTGAAAATTTACCACCATGAAACTATATTATTGATGTTTTACTGATGTATTAGAGTAGCAAAATAGTCAGGAGATCCCATGAGAGAACAAGTTATGCAAGAACAAAACTACCAGTCACATATTACTTCCTATTTTTGATTGTCAGGATCACCTGTTTTTATAAAATTCTCCCTAGACTGTCCTCTTTGTATTTTCCTTTTATTACATCACAGGCCCATTGATAGCTTCCTTGTCAGGAAAGCCTCTGATCAGAGTTCTCTTCCTTATGTACTCAGAGTACCCTTTTTTTTAGGATTATGGTTTTCTTTTTCATTTCTCCATCCTTAACTGCCAGATATACTGTATGATATCTGTTACCATTTTTCTAACTTGAGGCCTTTTGACCAGGAGTCAAAATCAATAATTACCTACTCATTCAGTCTTTTTGTAAAAGAAATGTTTTGAGTCACAGCTATCCACCAAATACTGTGCTAGAGAAATAATGATGAACAAAACCACTTCCTGGCCCCTGTTACAACTCTGCATGAAGCTTACAATTACATGGGAACTTGGACATTGATTAAATAGGCATACAGAGAGCTATGGAGTAGATTTACAGGGTCCTGGGAGAGAAATATTACAAGTCAACACTGAGCTCTGTGAAATGTTTTTGAGCATGAGTAACTAAGAGACCTGGGAGATTAATGGGAGGATGATGCTGGTTCTTCTTTCTCTTCCTCATATCAGTCTTGATGTATGTACCTTATGACAGGTATATTTAGATATTTTAGCTTCCTATCTTTTCTCTTGAAGGATCATGCTTCTTTTAGTCTTAGAATCTTTTACATAGATTTCCTAAAATCTTAAGGGTACAGTGTACTGTGATGTCCCCTAACTTCCTTAGCTTCAAAGAAGAGGTCAGGCCTCTTATTATTAAAACTATTTCATTCTCTTCAAAGAGAGAAGAAAATCTGTTCTTCATGGATTATAATTAAGAACACACTCATATTTGTTTCCCTCTTCTTTAGAAATGTGTATTTAGACTAATTATATTAAAATTTGCAAGAGGTAGTATAGAACAAGGAAGAGTAATTGGAAGAGACTGGAGATTGCTAACCACAGGTTAATGTAGCACAAGAAAAAGATTGAAGAACTGACTACTTAGTTTTAAAATAAGCAAATTTGGGCAGAATGCTGGGAATACCAGAAGGACAGAGAGCTGGGTGACTGTAAATATATGGAATTTAGAAAGATGGCAACAATGACCCAATATGCGAGACAGCAAAAGAGACACAGAGGTAAAGAACAGACTTTTGGATTCTGTGGGAGAAGGCAAGGGTGGGATGATTTGAGAGAATAGCATTGAAACATGTATATTACCCTATGTGAAATGGATCGCCAGTCCAGGTTCGATGCATGAGACAGGGTGCTTGGGGCTGGTGCACTGGGATGACCCTGAGGGATGGGATGGGGATGGAGGTGGGAAGAAGGGTCAGGATGGGAAATACGTGTACACCCATGATTGATTCATGTCAATGTTTGGCAAAAACCACTACAATATTGTAAAGTAATTAGCCTCCAATTAAAATAAATAATTTAATTAAAAAAAAAGAAATTCACTTACTCAGAAATCAGAATCAGTCTTGTTCCCCCATATATCTGAATAGCAAGTAATATAATTTGTTTGAAATTTCCCTGTAAGACTGAGATAAATAATTTTAAATACTTGTATAATGCTATTATTTTAGAATTATTCTCTTCCTTCATATAACAATGACAATATAATAATAACACTACTCATGTTTCTAAATCCCAATTAGAAACAAAGTTGGAAATGTTATAGGTGTTTTAGAAATGAAGTGAGCCCAGGTTGTTGGTGTGAGAAAATAGGGGAAAAATGGGAAGCCTGAATCATTCAGTCAGAGCTTTAAACCTGAGTCAACCTCGCTAAAAGAGAGATGGTTTTATATCTAAAATTAATTTCATAGCATTGAATTTTGTGAAGTCAGTGACCTTATAAGGTAAGGTCCTATTTCAAAGAATAAAGCACATGTCTTCATACATTGATGACAAAAGTAAGAAATAGCACAAATTTAGAAGCAAAAAATACATATGCTTAGATTTTTTGTATTAAATTTTTAATTGTAATATAATTGCTTACAGTGTTGTGTTAGTTTCTGCTGTATAACATGAATCAAATATATAAACACATATCTCCCCTCCCTTTCGAGCCTCCCCATCCCACCTCTCTAGGTCATCACAGAGGACCAAGGGGAGCTCCGGGTGCTATGCAGCAGCTTCCCACCAGCTATCTATTTCACACATGGTACTGTCCCTATGTCAGTGCTACTTTCATAGCATGTTGAGGAAGAAATATATGTCATATTAAGTACTGGGGGAAAAAGTTAGTTGATTCCAACTGGAAACCCCCAAGGGCATATGTTAGAGTAATATTTCTAGTTTTAAAGAAATCTGAAATCTATGATAATGCCAATGCTCACAAATTGTAAACATTTATCAGTAGGATATGAATGTGTGTATCTTCTCTCCATTTATAATTAACATTTCAAAAGTTAGAGCCTAGTATAGAATCTTATATTAACTGATTTGGTCTAATTTCTCACTAAAACTAATTTAGATTATTTTGTCCAATGTCTCAATATCCGTTCATTTCTTAAGGAATATTCTCCTTCATGTGCCATATATAGCAATGAAAGTAAATGAGAGGAAGAGAAGTCTGTGGAATAACATGCTCTTTCTTCTCTATTTCTAGAGAAAGTGTACATACTTATATATCTTATCGTTCTTCTGCAGTATTAGCAATATTGATGAGGCATTGGGAAGCCTTATGTAGAACTAAAGATTGCTTCAAATGAGTGGAGCATGACCATCAAAAACCTTTGTCAATATGTCTCCAGCCAATATCTCATGGATTCACCCCCCATCTTTCCTGCTGTTGGGAATTCCAGGACTGGAAAATATGCATGTCTGGCTTGGCTTTCCGTTTGGCATAGTGTATCTGATTGCCCTCCTTGGGAATGTTACCATCCTCTTGGTCATCCAGACTGAACATAGTCTTCACCAGCCCATGTTCTACTTTTTGGCCACCTTGGCTCTCACAGACCTGGGCCTGTCCACAGCCACTGTTCCTAAAATGCTAGGCATCTTCTGGTTTAACCTTGGTGTGATTTCCTTTGGAGGATGCTTAACCCAAATGTTCTTCATACATCTGTTCACAGGCTTTGAAACATTCATGCTTGTAGCCATGGCTTTTGATCGCTATGTTGCCATTTGTCACCCTCTTCGATACAACATAATCCTCACCAACAGAAATACCTGTATGATTGTGGAAATAGGAATTTTGAAAAATTTGGTTTTTGTTTTTCCACTTATATGCCTCCTTCTAAGGCTTTCATTCTGTGGACATAATGCTATACCCCACACCTACTGTGAGCACATGGGCATTGCCCGTTTGGCCTGTGTCAGCATAAAGGTCAATATATTGTTTGGATTAATCCTTATTTCTCTGATACTTTTGGATGTTATTTTGATTGCTATATCCTATGTGAAGATTCTACATGCTGTCTTCAGACTCCCGTCCCGGGAGGCCAGACTCAAAGCTCTTAATACCTGTGGTTCCCATGTGTGTGTCATCTTAGCTTTCTTCACTCCAGCCTTTTTCTCCTTTATGACTCATCGATTTGGACACAATATTCCACGTTATATCCACATCATCCTGGCCAATTTATATGTGGTTATCCCCCCTGCTCTTAACCCCATTATTTATGGGGTAAGAACCAAGCAGATCCGAGATCAAGTGGTGACAATATTTCATTTTAAAAAAGTTTGACTCTGAACACTTGATTTGAAAAGAGCCTTGAAACAATTTTCTTTTCCATCCTTTAAAAATTAAAGTGTCCTTAAAGTTTTATGGAGAATATGCTTTACAGAATATGATATCAAACATCATATTGAGAGAGTCAATTCCTAAGCAGGTTGATAAGAAGTCCAGGGTTCCTGAGGAGGTGAAAGGGGCCTGAGGTTCTCAAGGAGGAGATAGGGGTCTGGAATTCTCAAGGAGGAGGAAAAAACAAACTTTTTTTTTCTCTACATTCCTTAGTCTTAGTCACAGAAAATGTTTTCTTTTTAAGCCCGGAACTGATGATTGCACAACAAACAACTCAGTTTAAACTCTGTAATAAAGAAAGTGAAGTCACTCAGTTGTGTCTGACTCTTTGCGACCCCATGAACTGTGGCCACCTTCTGGCTAATCCTGTTATCTTAAAATGTAAATTATGGGAGTGGGTCTAATAACATCTTTACAGCCTTGAGACCTTCTTTTGATTTATTGTAATAACTAATTAAAAAGCATATAACTCTCTTGCTAACTAGCAAGGGGGGAATTCTCCATCCCCCTTCTGATGTCTGTGTGAAAAGCTTCCTCCCTCCCTCTTCTTACTTTAATAAAACTCTGATACACAAAAGCTCTTGAGTGATCAAACCTGGTCCCAAAGCTAAATCTTCTTTGGCGATCACGAATCGACATCGTTCACTGTAAGCTATCAATATTTCCTTATTTCTGTGCAGTATCAAATTGGAAATAAATTTACAGAGCAATTATTAGTCCCTAAGCAAAATTTAAATTTTATTGTTAAATAGTTCAGTGTAATTTATTTCTGTAACAGATATTAAAATCATCATTTGAGAATTAAGTCTTAATGCAACTCAAGTAGTATTAAATAGTCTCTCTATACAGAATTCATTGATTATGATAGAGGAGTGCTGTGCTGCCAAGAACTGTCTTACCTGTAATGGGTCTAACTAGACAATGCTGCAAGATACGAGTTCCTGAAACACTAATCAAAGAATCTGAATGCAACCTTTTTGTTTCCATGGTAGAGTTGGTTCCCATGAAAACATAATCATAAGGAAAAAAAAATTAACAAACAACATAGGCATAATTTTGTATTCAATTTCATGCTTTGTAATAACAACTGAAGCAATTACACAGAAGTAAAACAATTCAAAGGGCTCATAAGACTTTACAGGATACGCTCATTTTAGGCTCTAATTAAGATCAAGGTAAATAAAGTACAGCAGGAGAAAGAAACAGATATAGCAGATAAACAGAAAGAGATTGAAAATGTTTAGGCACAACAGATGACTTGTCAATTGTACATACTGAACTTCATCTTTGTTGTGAAGCACCAAAAAATGCTCAGACAATTAGTGTATGTGTACTCAGTCATGTCCGACTCTTTGCAACCTCATGGATTGTAGCCCACGAGGCTCCTCTGTCCACAGAATTTTCCAGGAAAGAATACTGAAGAATATAAAAAATGCAAGTCCCAGACTAAGAGAAAATACTTGCAACATATATATCAGACAATGGATTTGCATGCAGGCTGTATGAAGAACTTTTTCAGGCCATTAATGAAAAGACAGCTCAATTTTAAAAACGAAGATAAAGTTTTAATAACTATTTCACAAAAAGATTACAAATGTTCAATAAGCAAATGAAAACATGCTCACTACCACTGGTCATTAGGGAAATGCAAATTGAAGACACACAAGATACCATCATAATCAAAATTGTTAAAATTAAAAAGACAAGCCATACCAAATATTAGCAAGGATGTGAAGCAACCAGAACTCTCATATATTGCTGTGCATGTGTGCTAAGTCACTCAGTCGTTTCTGACTTTTTGTGACCCCATAAACTGTAGCCCACCAAGCTCCTCTGTCCATGGTGATTCTCCAGGCAAGAGTACTGGAGTGGATGGCCACAGGGGACCATTCCCTGCGGGGGACCTTCCAGACCCAGGGATCAAACCAAAGTCTCTTATGTCTCTTGTGTTAGCAGGTCGGTTGTTTACCACTAGTGCCACCTGGGAAGCCCCTGGTAGCTTGATGTAAAATGGAAGACTTTGGAAAACAGTTTTGTAGTTTTGAAAATATTGTTTAACATATGCCTATCATATGATCTAAACAATATACTCCTAGATGTTTACCCAAAGAAATTTTTAAAAAAATGGCTGCACACAGATATTCATAGAAGCTTTATCTGTAATAGCTTCGAACTGAAAACAAACTGTTGAACCTACAAGATTTTAGTTTTCTAACATAATGGCATAAGGGAAAACAACCTTTTAATATACAACACTTCATGAGTTTTACAGCACCTGTTTGGCATACTTTGGTTAGTCAAGAAATGAATTAAAAATAAGAACACAAGATGGTGCAAAATTAATGAGCACTAACTAAAGGAAAATGATTATTTCCATTTACATAAGTACAGTCATCATAAATATTACTAGACATTGGATATATTTCCTAAAACATAGATACATATTTAATGTTATGATCCAAAGATATTTAAATGCAAATAAATAATTATAAATAAATAAATGTATCCACTGAACATACTTAGAAGGCTAATATTTAATGTGTCAACATATATCTTTGTAAGTATTTGGAAAGTTTTGGTACAACATCCTATTCTAGATCATTAATTTGATCTTTAAATCCTTACTGGTTGTGCCTGGAGACTCTGTGCATAGACTTTGCTATGCATATTTGTTGTTGCCTTTTATAGTATTATCTAAAACAAAAATAAATAAATAACCTAGAAGAAATAAAAATAAAACTTTTCCTGTCCAATTGGAGAAAACAAAAGCAACTGGTATCAATATTCTAAAGAATTGCTTACTATATTTTAACAAGTTAAAATAATAACACTAGAACTGTATGTTTAATAGTCTACTATTTATTTATTTTAATTAAGGTATAGTTGATCTACAATGCGTTAGTTTAGGTGTACAGTAAGGTGATTCAGTTATATAGACATGTATCAATATATCTAATTTTTCAGATTCTCTTTGTTTATGAGTTACTGCAAAATATTGAGAGTATAGTTCCCTGAGTTATATATTAGTTCCTTTTAGAGTGTATTTTTTGAGAAGTTTTTGATTCGTGAGAAAATTGAGTGGAAGATACAGAGATTTCTCTTATATGCTCTGTCCCCACATGGATAGTCTCCTCCATTAAACATCACTCACCAAACTAGTAACATGTGCTACCACTGATGAACCTATATTGACACATCATTATTTCCCGGGGTGAGTGAAGTTTACATTAGGATTCACTCTTGGTACCGGTATTCTTCATGAGTTTGGACAAATGTACAATGACATATATTAACCAAGGCAGTATCATATAGGGTCTTTCCCTGCCCTAAAAATCCTCTGTGCTCCTGTGTTATTCATCCATTTCCTAGCCCTCAACTTCTGGAAACCACTGATCTATTTACTGTTACCATGCCTTTTCTAGGATGTCATACAGTTGGAACCATACAGTATGAAGACATTTAACACTGGCTTCCTTCTCTTAGTAATATGCACCTAAATTTCCTCCATGTCTTTTCATGGCCTATTAGCTCATTTCTTTCAATGCTAGCCAATAATCTGTTATTTAGATGTACCACATCATCTTTCATCCATTGAAGGACACCTTGGCTGTTTCCAAAATTTGGCAATTATGAATAAACTAGCTGTAAATATCTGAATGCAGGTTTTTCTATGGATATAGTTTTCTACTCCTTTGGGTAAATATCAGCAAGCATGACTGATTTCTGGATTATATGGTAATAATGCATTTAATTTTGTAAGACTACCAAATGTCTTCCAAAATGGCTGTGCCATTTCATTTCCACCAGCAATGCAGAAAAGGCAAAGGAACCAGAGATCAAATTGCCAACATCTGTTGAATCATTGAGAAAGCAAGAGAATTCCAGAAAAACACCTATTTCTGCTTTATTGATTATGCCAAAGCCTTTGACTAAGTAGATCACAATAAACTGTGGAAAATTCTGAAAGAGATGGGAATACCAGACCTCCTGACCTGCCTCCTGAGAAATGTGTATGCAGGTCAGTAAGCAATAGTTAGAACTGGATATGAAACAACAGACTGGTTCCAAATAGGAAAAGGAGTATGTCAAGGCTGTATGTTGTCACCGTGCTTATTTAACTTATATGCAGAGTACATCATGCGAAATGCCAGGCTGAATGAAGCCCAAGCTGGAATCAAGATTGCCAGGAGAAATATCAATAACCTTAGATATGCAGATGATACCACCCTTATGGCAGAAAGTGATAGAGGAACTAAAGAGCCTCTTGATGAAAGTGAAAGAGGAGAGTGAAAAGTTTGGCTTAAAACTCAACATTCAGAAAACTAAGATCATGGCATCTGGTCCCATCACTTCACGGCAAATAAACAGGGAAACAGTGGAAACAGTGAGAGACTTAATTTTCTTGGGCTCCAAAATCACTGCAGATGGTGACTGCAGCCATGAAATTAAAAGACACTCCTTGGAAGAAAAGCTATGGCCAACCTAGATAGCATATTAAAAAGCAGAAACATTACTTTGCCAACAAAGGTCCATTTAGTCAAAGCTGTGGTTTTTCCAGTAGTCATGTATGGACATGAGAGTGGGACTATAAAGAAAGCTGAGTGCTGAAGAATTGATGCTTTTGAACTGTGGTGTTGGAGAAAACTCTTGAGAGTCCCTTGGACAGCAAGGAGATCAAACTAGTCCAACCTAAAGGAAATTATTTCTGAATATTCATTGGAAGGACTGATGCTGAAGCTGATACTCCTATACTTTGGCCATCTGATGCTAAGAAATGACTCATTAGAAAAGACCCTGATCCTGGGCAAGATTGAAGGAGGGAGGAGAAGGGGACGACAGAGTTTGAGATGGTTGGATGGCATCAAAGATTCGATGGACATGAATTTGAGCAAGCTCAGGGAGTTGGTGATGGACAGGGAGGCCTGGCGTGCTGTGATTCATGG